ATGCTAAAAACAACAAATATTAGGACAGTTTTGAATGAAACGATTCACTGCTGAAATAGTTAAAATTAATATTAAGTCAACTGTTAGGTTTTCCCTATAACTAGACGAAATGTGCAAGCGAAGGAAAGGATAGCACATTAATTTCTGAAAGGTCGGAGGTAATAGATGGATTACAAAGCATATTCTTTATACATATTTAGACAAAAGTTGTGTCGAAATACATTACCGTTTAGCACTATAAGTTATAGCAACTTAAAAATCATAGCTCAGAATGCGACTTGAAGACTATTGACAATTGACGTAACGTAACTGCGATGAACTCCTTAGAGAATCTTTACTTGTCACACGTGGCCTCGCGACCGATAAAATGAGTTGTTACTTTCATTTCAAAGAAACTTTGCTTTGTGTCTCAAGGCATGGATAAAGCGAAAATGTACCCGTAATCAATAATCAAAACTATACTAAATTTAGGATTATGACGTCTTCATACTACTTCAGGATATTTGGACTCAGATTCGTGCATATATCCATCTTTGAATTCTTCAATGTCCATATTAACAATAGTTTGGAGTTTTAAAAAAGTGATTGAAAACTGAGAGATTCAATAAAGATTTAGTGGTTTTATTGGACTAGAAGAATTTAATATGTCAAGTCTCATACTAGGACTACAGATTTCAGTACATGTTATTACATAGAAACTAAATACAAGATAAGCTATACTATTTTAATGAACGAGCACATAATAGGGACAATCGAATGTATTTGAATACAAAATTTCTTAGTAAAATCTGAGGACTATACAGCAAATACTTCATTTGCAAAATATCAAACAATCGTCTCCGACTTCATTGTTCTTTCGTTTCCATACCAATCATTTTCTGTTCTCGTTCCCTTTTCTTCGATCTTCTTAACCTTCTGCCGCCAGGTATTTCACTTTCGATTGGTGACACACACCACACTATGACAAGTTGTACTAAGATTTCAACAATGCCAGGGTCAATATACGACCCAACAGACAACTAGTTTATTATTTTGATGAACGAGTCATCCTGAGGTGAATGTATTTACACGATGTAGACTGCTAGCAGATAAAACTAAGTACTTATTAGCTACCATTAGTATTGGAAAATTCGGGAATAGTAGCCCAAAGTATAAAAAATTCATCAATATTTCATAGTTTGTCGAGAACGTCAATACAATTGTTTCTTAGTAGCGGTGTTTCATATGTTCGTTTCCATGATATAAAATGTGTCAAAATAACTGTTACACAATGAAGACCACACAACAACAATTTCAACATTTACTTTACTTCATATACATATACCTCAAATCACAGCGATACATTAACCTGAATGAACACATGGTTATTTTTTTTTAAAACAGTGATAAATATACTTTTTGTTATATCCCAATAAGTGAAAAAATTGTATTTTTGGCGTTCCGTGACTTAATGCAGGCTAATTCTTCAGACGAAATATTTATTTATCATTAACTTTCTACCCAATGCTCAACATATTTGAAACTATCAGGTCCAATCTTGCTATTGAAAAAGACAGTGTTTGCATTTTCTGGGAAATAAACAATAAAAAAGCTTTAAGGAGCTTCATCAGAAGAAGAATTATGATTATTATCTTCGTTCTCCAAGCCAACTGTACGAATATCAATCATATCTAACACTTGTCTAAGAGTAACAGAGAACGTTTCCGCTGCTAAACGTACGATCCCACCAATACTACCAGAAGCATTTTCATTGACTGTTAGTGCACCAGAAGGACCACGAAGAGCCAATTCAGCATTTACAGAGCTTGAGGGTAAGAATGATGATAGAAGACCGTTGAGAAATCCACTTCCAGCCATGGTTTCACGAACGCGACGTCTATATGAAATTTATCAAAAATATTTACCTTTAGGAAAATAAAAATCCCTAATAGACATTTTCATTTAAGAAAACCACTTCGTCTGCAGTATCAGAGATAAACAGTAAAACAATAAACAAATCTTAAAATAAAAATCAACCGTAAAGTTAATAGTGTCCGACAGTAAAAAAAAACGGCAAACACTTGAAAACGTAGATCAAACAAACCAAATAATTATAAGCATGATATCTTTTGACTAACCTTTCTTCCTCTGGGTCATAAATATTGATAGAACTCCTGGGTGGAAGAGGATCAAATGTATAGATAGGAGTACTTGTTAAATTCTAAACAAAAAAAGCATTTAGCAAAGAAACAAATACATAAGTAAAATTATATATATTAATATCGTTTTGTAATACACTCTTATTTTGTAATTTCTTCACAGTATTCGTATTTGCACATGAACTGTCGAAAAAGCTGTATTATGTATGCCTCGACATTTGTTACATTGATATTTATAGCGGATTTGACCAGTGAAGTGGTGGTTTGGCTGTTTAAACAGTCGACTTTACACTAATAGGCTGCAAATTTGAACCCTGAACATTTACTTCAATTTCGGTAGCAATGTAGTATTATTAAGTCTCATATCTCAAGTACATTCCAAAGCTAATTATTCAATTTTATATTTAGCAAATAAATTACACATTTGGCCGATAATGCAGTAAAGGTCAACATTAGCCAGTAATTGATACAGTTGGTCAAATTAGTTAATTAACCTGGGTTGTGAAACAAATCATGTACATACTGACATTTAAAATGAAGTTCGGAACAATTCAAGTTACTTGCGCATTACATCATACATCAAACACAGTATTTTTTAGAACTGGAAGCATTTTTCATCATGCTTGTGAGAAATTACGAAAGACAATAATCATAGTAAATATTGAAAATGGTTATATTGCACAGAACATGCTCAAAAGAAATGTGAGTAAAACTCGTAGGTATAGTGATGACCGATACTAGCTAATTGAATCGAAGTATCACCGTAACAAGTGGATCTAAACCGAATAAATTTCAATTAAACACTTACTAAACTGCAAATAACTCTTGACTAAACTGCAAGCTGTTGAGAAGGTAAAAGAAGATAGAAAGTTTGTTTCCAAATCTAAGCGATTATAGTACAGGAAAAAGTATATGGGTGTTTGTAGAATTTCTTGTTTTGCGAATCCACTTATGGAGCTTGGTTTAATGGTACACACGTGGCTTAAAATTAGAAATAACAATCATTTTAAGAATTCTTTTTCACCTGACTTTTATCAGATTTTCTGGAAATACTGCACCTACGAACAGATATTCTGCTTCATAAAAGACTTTAATCCTTGCAGTTATCGTGCCGTTATTGGAACATTCGTATGACATTATCACATATCCACAACCCGAAATACAAGGCAACCAATGCTACATATTAATGCTAATATATTACATACCACATGACTACCTCACGAAATTATAACTTCAAAACTTCTAACAAACTGGAAGCTAATGAATTATATGTTAGTTTTGGAAATATCAATAGTAGGATTCGAAAGTGCTAGTCGTAAGAGTAACGTATTTACCAGAATCTTAGGGTCTTGTCTTTTGATTTGCAATTAAGAGACATGAATGGTATACTATAAATATTTTTCAGAATGGAAATATCTATCACGTTTATTATTTATTATTTGCATCAACAATATTAAGTATTAGTGAAACTTTTCATAACTGTTGTTTTTGTTAAACTTTTATAGAAAATTTTATTTAACTGGTACATCACTAACTCGGGGTAAAATGGGTGGAGCTTCAGAAACTTCGGACAAAATCAGGTGCCTCAAAATCTTCGGTGGGAAAGCAGGATAAAAAGTTTTTCGTCTAAATGAACAAGGAAGAACAAAGATTACATGGTTTCATTAGTGTAATCAGGTTATTTTGTAAATTATCTACATAAAAATTGGGGAACAGGCTTGATACTAAATACAAGTATGTAGTAAATTTTCATAAACTAGTTTTTTTTCTTGAGAGTTTTAGTTAGATCATAGGCTGTAGTTATCTGTAACATTCTCAATCAACCTAATGTTTTCTACGCCTTCGTCCATTTTTCCTTTCATTTAGTGTATGAACGCCGCATATAAGAATGTAATTTTCATTCGCGGTTTCATTATGACTGTTAACTTTTATTATATTCGTGCGTTTCATCCAGCATGTTGAGCTATGCTGCACTAACATATTCATAGAAGACAGTTACGGATAACTTCAGACGCTTGACATGGAGGGAATAGGAAAAATCTTACTCTGATCTGCAGTATTCATTGACTAATCGAACAGAAAAATGTATGAAAGTACTTGATTCAATATGTGTATTGAACATTGAAACTTTGAGGATAACTTCAGTTGACTTGACTAATTATATCAAATAACTGTGTATAAGGTTACGTGCTCGGTTTTGTACGATATATTTTATTTGGAAGCAGGTAATAATTACTTGGCTGATAAAAAACGAATGTAGATCCCAGTTTGAACAAGTTATTCTGCGGCAAAATGTGAAACGACGGTAATGAATTGAGCCAATATCATCAGTTTAAAGTGAACAGTATAATATGGTAGAAATATCTTTGAATTAATAAAATCAACATTCTAAGTTGTGAGTGACAACAAACATGTCATGGTCTATGATAATCTCTTACCATTCAAGCTGAATTGAGCGGAATAGCGTGTTGTATCCTCAACTCAATGGTTAGGTATTTAGATTATGAAGCATCAAATACCGAATAATACGGGGTACTTCAGTTGGTAATTTCAGCAGTTACTACTATCCAGGCCGTAAATATACAAGTATTTGTAAGACACTTTATTCAAAACTCATTAGTTACCATGTCTATATTCATTAGTACTTTAATTTTGGTTTATTTGGATCATTAAGATTCGCATAACATTTGTGCTTTGTAATAAAACTAACTATCCATAACCAATTTGGCTCACATAATTTTATTATTTATTTATTTGAACGCATAAATATTGGTACAAAGGGGCACCGAATACATATGCACCACACAAGTTACTTGATTTGTGTGTAGGCTGTGATATTGACCGGGTGCCCAGACCGAAGCAGGTGGTTTTCTTAGGGGGCCACACACAGAGCCTTCGACCTAAAGGTCTGGTCCATAAGGCAATGGAGCAACGTCAAGAGATGCAATTCCATGGTAGCCAGTGACCAATAATTGGTTCCTTCAGGATACTGGAACCCACGTGTACCATTGGTTTGGAATCAGGGTTTTTCAACTCCCCTAGGTGGATCCTCAATATCCACTAATAGGTTAGTGTTTTTACATACCACGTCTGGGATAAATGTATCGGCTCAAGGAAAACAACAAACATAAACTAAAGCATGAATCTCATACTCGACCCTAACCCATAAAGTGTGACCACTTATTTGAAGATCAGTGAACAGAGGTTACGACTTTTAATCACGAATTTTCAAGTATGAACTTTGCTCTGCTAACCTCAGTTTTGGAAAAACAATGGTGGCAGTACCCTTTATATGAATCTGACTTAAATAAAAAACAATGAACAATTCAGTCAATTCGTGTGATATCAACTTAAATGTTTCGTTTCCTGTCCTAGTAGGCGGGATTTTTATAGACAGCTGATGTACACTTCCTACCGTTGTGAAAGTTTATTGCGTTTTAATTTGAGCAAGTGTATTTCCTTCTCTGTTAAAGATAAAGTTTTGCTGTTATCATGTTGAATACTAGAAAACCTTCCGTTCACCTGTTACGTTATGGAATATGAAAAACACGACTCAGTAAGACTTTTTGTATTCTTACTGATGTCACGCTAGAAAGATTATATACATGTTTGACGCCATAAACAATTGTTATTAATTACCCTAACATAGTTGGAACGGTGAAGTTATGAAAAAATTAACAGAATTGCATGGCATGGAAGATATATGGGGATGGTAATTAAAATTAATATAATTAAAGCAAATATTACTAAAATAGTTATCACCTTTTGGAATATTCAGAAAGACGTGGATCAATAGTATTAGACTTAGAAAGATCCAATTGTTTAGGTTCAACCAAAGTTAAAACAGTCGCAATATTTTTTTCCAGCCACGGAAGGACGTTGGGTGAGGACCAAAGAGGATGCATGCGAGCGACATATAGACTTAGTAAACAACCAAGACTATCTGATTCGCTTATAAAAATAAAACGAAACAAGAGAGTATGGCATTCAGTAATAAAAACTCTCAACAACACTACATCAATATTAATGTGACGAAGTAGGAAGATGTTGGATTCATCGAATTCCTTCGGACTTAATTTAGTCAGTCTTAATCCGGAGCCTGGTACGTGGTGGTCTTAGCGATCTAGGATCGTGACCGCAGAGCAAAAGGGACAACTGCTTGAGGCTAGTCGCTCACGGCTTTTAAATGGGAAGTTTTTTATGCGTAAGCTACGCACTTCAAAACGCCATGCCACCGGAGACGGACACCCGTAGGACAAAGTGTGACATTTTTAGGGTTGAATTTTTCCAACTCCTTTCTTCCGTTGTGAGAAGGTAGATGGTTGTCTGTGGAAGCACCTCACTGCTGTCATACTCCTCTAAAGTCAGCAGTACGACTTCACCCTCGGGCCTCTTTAACCGACCTACCTGGCATGGTGAGACCTAAAGCGACATGTGTTTCAGCCAATACAACACGGCTGAGTCATCACGATAGGCAATCACGACCACCACGTTAAGGGGTAGCTAGGGTCGGGGAAATTGAATGTTCAGAAATATAATCACTTAAAATACGATACCAGAAATATTCTCATGTACTATTCAGAATAAATGTGGATGCAGGTAATTAAGAATATTTCGTTTATGACCGAATCAAACATATGAAGCTTGTTATTTATTGATGACGCCAAAAATTACTGAATATGCGATAGCTGGCTAAATTGTAATAGTTACTACATATTTCACATTTTAGGATCAAAACGAACGTCCATAAGGCGTTATTCCTCACAAAATTGATACTTCATCCTTAAGTTGGAACCGAAATAGAAGGCTCCTAAAATATGACAAGACGCTTATGATGAAGATTCCTTAAAGTATATATGGATACTAAGTTAATAATGGTAGCATAGTTGAAAAATGCTCAGATACAGCACTACATAATGAGACTGTAGTTATAGGCTAAAAATATTGCAGAGAATAGTTAATAATAAGACAACTTTTACGTTGTCTAAATTTCATTCTATTTATTTATTATTATTTGAACACATATATATTGGTACAGGAGTGCGCCAAATATATATGCGCCACACGAAATATATATTTCATTCTAAGAATTTACTTAATGAACTGATGATATACCAAACGTCGAATGGTGAGGCAGTAAGCAGTTAGTAATATATATATGGTTTTGATTAGAAATTCTAACCAAAAAGGTGTATAGGAAATATCGTATGAGTAATGCTCACATTACTTGCGAAACACTTGATTAACTAATAATGGTTATCAATTAGATAAGGGGTTACGAATTTATTAACAATACATCAATGTCACAGATTGAAATCATGAGTCAGTTGAAGCTAGACCACCATTGAAAACCTGGAAGCACTGGACGGCCATTTCGTCCTAGTATGGGACTCCTCAGCAGTGCGCATCCACGACCCCGCACTACCCGGGGCTCAAACCCAGGACCTACTGGCTTCGCGCGCGAGCACTTAACCATTAGACCACTGAGCCGGCATACAACGGTGTTAATGTCTAACTTCAACCAATCCACGAAGTTGCGCTACCGTACACCATTGTCCTCAGTGAGTTCCTATCTCACAACAGACCTGGTTGAACTCCACTGGTAACGACTTCTCACTAGAACTCCAGAAGTGTCTCCTGAAGTCAGTCACTAGTGAGCAGGTGATTATTATTATCAGAAATTTCTAAAATCTCCACAAAACCCATTCTGATAATACATCAATGTATTATCAATCAAACGTACCTCAATAGAACTTCTTTTCCAAAAAGGATAGATTTTTCAAGATTTGTAATACCCCCGATACTTGTATGTTTGAGTAAGCGCGACACAAATCCGGGAAACATGATTAAAGCATCTTGCAACTAAAAGGTACAAATGTATGCAGCTAAAATCGATTACGTAAAAGACACAGAAACGATATTCGTTTTATCAGATTAATTAATTTTCGTAACGGAAAAAATTACTGTATACAGAAGTGAGTTGATGTAACAAATCATGAAACAAAAGCATGGAATATTAACAAATAGGACAAACTAGTTTACAACTTTTTATCAAAATTCATAGTAGATTGGAAAAAGTTTCATGAACACTGGAGCGACGACACAAAATGGGTCCCGGATAGCAAATTAAACCATATTCATTAGTCCACAAATTACTAACTACTGACTTCAGAAAAAAGGTCTATTTTAGTTTTCAGCGAAGCTTGGAGTGAGCTCAACAACGAGACTTATTTCCAATTGGATATCTATAGAAAACTTTAGATTGATAAATACACTGAGTACTTATAAATCGGATTGCTTGTGCCATTCTTGCATTTCTTATAAAATGAGAAACCATTCAGTAACCTAGTCCAGACTTAGAATGATGCATTGGAAGTTACAAAAAATGTAAACCAATAATTGGTAGCGAGCAAAGTTTTCAGCTAGATAAGACATAAAGAGCGTGTGATCAAACCGTTAACTTATCTCAACATATGATTTCAGTAATGCCAATTGACACAATTTGAATAATATGAACTAATGTCTGCATAGCTTCATATCAGTTCTTTCAATTCAAACTTTTGAATAACGATGGAACCTTACACAAATACTAATATGGTGATAAATCTTAAACGGAAACAAATTTAAATTATTAAGTATTTATATACCTAAAAAATGTCATTGAATATTCTAAACATATCCATAAGAATGATGAAATAACTAATCGAATTGTTTACCCAAAATCCTAATAAATGAGTAGTCAGTAGATAAAAGTGGCAATCTTGAAGCAATAATTCATAACTCTGTCACAAAATATGTTCCAAAAAAGGATATTGATCAACTAACAATATACCACTATTAAAATCAAGATAAGACTTTTTGCTGTGAATTGATTAGACTGACAGTTTTTTGACGGAATAAACTAAGTAATTTATTTAAAATAATTGCTATGAACGAATGAGAGGTAAAACATAGTAAAAATGTTTTAAAGAAACTATTCAAGCTTATTTTTTGAAGGCAAACATAATAGGGAGAAGCTAAGACTAATTAAATTTATAATTCATTAACTAATACATTAAGAAACCTGTATATCAATGGAAATCAAACATACACACTTACAGATTCATCCACACTCATCTTGTTTCCATCACATTTCTCTGGATCTTCACCAATTAACTTACGAGCCAATGGTATAGATAAACCAAAATTGGGAAGCAAGTACAAGTTGCGCGAACCCTTTAAGTAGGCAGTAGAAACGTTGGACACGATTTAATTTCTTCAAAAATAAACACTGGGTTGCAATTTTTAAATCATTTAAATTCAAATTTCTAATCCTATGTAATTAAAAATCCGCAAGACAATGCACAGTAAATTTCGGATAATTAAGTGAACGACATGATTAAGGATAGTAAATTACAAATAATGCTTTATCTGTACGCTATATAGAATATACCAATTATTACAGAATAGATGTGTTTCAGGCACCATTTTTTACTGACAATGCTCACAAATTTTTCAAGTTAAGGGTGCATTCGGTTACCTAATAAAACTTATCTGAAAGAGTAGTTTGAAAACTAGCAAGACAACCTAGAATCCATAATAATATTACCTAATTATTACCTCGTCAGAGAACACAAATACAAAAAATTGATGAAGCTATGACGGCAGTGAATTAGAAGTTCAAATCAAACCTACGAACATGAAGGAGAAGATTCAAGCGTGAAAAATATAGGTCACATATAAGATCAGTACTTAAGTACACTGGATAGAACAAAGCTTATTGATAGGCCTGCAATAAAATAATTGATACTCAGAAGTTTTTGTCTGAAATATTCATCAAATGGTTTAAGTGAAACTCATAATTAAAACTACAGGAAAGTGGAAAAAAACTTGGAAAATGATCAGAATTTTGATGGCAGTTAGAGGATTAAGCAACACAGTCGTATGTCCACCCTTCATTACAAGATAATGAGTAAATACGCATACAAAAACGCGATAAACACTGGGTCAACTCAAATAACACATAACAATCAACAAGCTCTACCATCTTAAGAGAAATGAATTCAAATAAACTTTCTAAGAATGTACCTTAAGCCATTCTGATATGCAATAAGTACCTTTAAAAATATAGACTGAAACTGTCACTGTTTTCTGAGTTAAAATGGCAGGACGTTTTGGGCACTAATTACAATAATTTTGTGATAAATAATGAAATATGCGAGAATGTCAACCGACCGCTAAATTAGCTTGATGAAATGAAACCACGAAAATGTGTCTTGATATCTGTTATCATCAGTTTTCTATGAAAACATGAGTATTCATCTAGCATTTTTTGCTAATTCAAGTTCTTTAAATATGCTCCCGAAGGAAGATTTAATAGAGGTGAGATTTGTGTACAACGGATATCATTTCGTGATTATAACAACAAGAAGTTCTGAAGACTTCCAACATAGTTATGTGATCAAACATTAAAAAGTGAGAATGACTAGTATTAGTTTATTATCAACCTTCATAAATAAGAAGTGTATTACAAGTCATGGAAATGCAAACAACTATTACGAGATTGAGAAAAGCCCTTTCTGAAACTCACAGTTGATGGTAGAGTGAGAAACAACTGGAAAATTTGTTTATCTAAGTAGGTGTAACTGATTGTGACAATAGTAATCTCCACACAACAAAAACCATGTCACAGATTGACAGGCTTCATCTCTGAAGCTATTAAAGGCAGTTATCTGGTGTTCGAGAACTGAAAGTACAAAGCTTTAAGTCATGTAGTTCTGCTTCATGTTCACTTGATCTCTGCATCACATAGACGCTGTGCTACTGGTATTTATGCCGCAGTTTTTTGACAGTGATGCATGCAATAATTAATTATCTACATCTGTCTTGTGTGACTGATATTTTTGTACTGATAACTTTTTTCATTCTTTCGATCTTCAGAGCTATACATCATGTCTAGAGTATATTTTTATGTTCACTAGATACAGACTACTTTTTAAATAATAGTAGTAGGCATAAAAACAAATCAAAACTACTAGCAATAATCAAAAGTGAAAAATGTCCTAAAACAAAAGCTTATCATTTTGGAACTTACATTTAGGCTATCATACAAATCAATTAGGAAACTATACTGCCTGGAGTAAATAGCATAACGATCTATCATGAGTAGGACTGTCAAAGGATCATCTTCATAATCAAGACTACAATACAAAACGAATTAATTTATGTCATTTCACAATCTATAGGCTAATATATTACAAAATTTAATAATTTCATTGGTCAAAACTGTAACAAGAAAATTTACAGAAAATTTTACACGCAGAACTTTTTCATAAAAACTAAATCAGTGTTGCTTTTATCATGTTTTGGTATCAAGTGTGTCAACCTAAACCAATGCATTATTGTATAAAACCTTAATCCTTTTTCCGTCAATTTGTAAGGAAAATAACCGATAAAACACTTCACTTCAATCAACAACCGTATAATAATTTCCTTACGACAGTCCATATCACTAACTCTAAGGATGCTGCTCAGATGATAAAATAAAAATGGTTGAATAATTTCGCAACCAACATGAGCAAGCTACTTGTTGACCAAGCACAACAACAGGCATTTAAATTACTACACTACATCTTAGGGATTGGGAATGATTTCTTGTTGACGTCAGTAAAATCGTATTGGACCACATCCATGACCGGAAAGCAAACCAAAATGTTTCTTTCATACTTAGATGCAATTTTCAGACGTCATTAAGGTCAAATAAGCATAAAATACAGTGACCTCTCAATTTTAACAAGCAGTGATATTTTGGTTCACTATAAGAAAGACAAAAGTGAATTTATTTACATTCCAATACACAGAAAATTACTCTATGCTTGTAAAGCTATATAAAATACCTAAAGTAATATTAGGTATATAGAAAGCTTTAATGAATATAAAAGGTTTCAGATAGTCTATGTAGTAACAAATCTGTTTCCAAGTAAATTATTCTTTATCTATGCCGTTAGACCTTCGTAGTAAAGTGAAAGCAGTAATACAATGGGTTTTCGACAATACGCTCAGGCCCAGCCATTAAGTATCAATTTTTTAAGGCATTGAAAAAACCATATTTTATTTTCTACCCCTATAAACGCCGACTGGACCCTAAAAGCTTGGGCTATTCAACAAACGACAGGACCTAAAGATATATTTTCATTTAGATACTCTCAGATACAAGTCAGCTCTCACGCCATCTTTTCACTACATTGTCCACTGAACTACCCAGCTTGGGAAGGATGTACCATGGAACTGGACTAAAGAATAAGAATCAGATACTTTAAAGTCGAATACAGTTAAAATACTACTCCAGGTTATTTTGCTTGATATCTTCAGTTTACTGACACACGAAGAGACTCAAGTAGCATGAACATTTGAACCAGATTTACGAGCAAGGTGGGACAGACGCTGGAGGAAGACGGTATACTCTTGGGTAAACCCAAGAGTAGTTTGCAATGATTTAGGAAGGGATATTAGAGATAATAAGTCCCCGAATACAGAGCATCAGAAAGAAGTCGATTGTAATGTCTTACATTGATTTAGGGTGATTTCCTTTCATTTGACTTCTGTTCAGTATAAGATTTAATTGTATTAATTTTGTGTGACAATTTTGTTAATTAATAATCACTAAACCCAATTTGTATATGATGGAATAAGTTCGAGTGTAAATTATTCTTCAGTCATTATTAAATAAAACTCCCAAACAAGATTTGTCTTCTGCAATAGCCAGGGCTAGAGTTGTGGCATCCCGTTAACGAAATGTAGATAAGGGCTATCGCTTTTATTACAATTATATGGGGTATAGGCCTTAAAGGGATGTCCCTTACACTTTAAACCAAGCAATTGTAAGAAAAACACAAGTATTTCGATTTATTTCTGTGTGGTAGTATAAGTAAATTGTCTATGTTATTCATGTTCATTGCTCTCGCTCGCTCGCTTTCCTGCTTGTCTTTCGGTACAACTCTTCTATGCTTGTTTAACGCATCTGTAATTTTGGATATCTGTGTGTGGTCCCGTAATAAAAGTAATCAACACTTCATATTCGCCTTCTGATTAATAAACCGTTGGGGCGTTATATAGGACGGTTATCAAGACGAACTGTATACGAATTTTAAGGATTATATTGAATACCGACCACCACATAATTGGTAATCATAACGTGCGAGCATGAAACTCCGCCTGGAGTCCCTCCGGGGGCTACTGCCCGTCCCAAGCCCGGATAAAGGAGGAGGGTTGGGCATGGGGTTAGCGTCCCCATCCCGTAGAAAACGAACTCGCTAAAAAAACGCTAACCATAAAAAATTATTCAAACCTTTTAACCTCTGCCCTGGGAGTCAGAAGGTCTTCATTTAGAAGAACTATGACGCCTCATGATGAAAGCCGAATTCCTTCGGAAGTTACGAGGCCAATGCCCCTTCTGACAACCAGAGCGACCATTTATTTAGGTACATGGAATGTTCGTACAATGTGGGACACCGGGAGAGCCTTCCAAATCGCTGCAGAAATGAGAAGATACAACCGAGAGGTACTTGGGATCAATGAAACACATTGGACGCAAGTTGGACAACAACAACTAACTTCAGGAGAGCTTCTGTTATACTCCGACCATGAAGAAGAAAATGCCCCACATACACAAGGAGTCGCATTGATGCTGTCCAAACAAGCGCAAAATGCGCTTATAGGATGGGAATCTCATGGACCAAGGATCATCAAAGCCTCGTTCAAAACAAAAAAGGAGGGCATTACAATGAATATCATCCAATGCTATGCGCCTACCAACGACTACAATGAAGACGCTAAAGATCAATTCTACAATAAGCTGCAGTCAATCGTCGAGAAATGCCAAACAAAGGACCTGACCATTCTGATGGGAGATTTCAACGCCAAGGTTGGAACGGACAACACTGGATATGAAGACATCATGGGACGACATGGACTGGGAGAAAGAAACGAAAATAGTGAGAGATTTGCAAACCTATGTGCCTTCAATAAACTAGTCATAGGCAGCACCATATTCCCACATAAACGCATTCACAAAACCACATGGACTTCACCGGATCACACCACGCAAAACCAAATCGACCATATTTGCATCAACAAAACGTTCAGGAGTACTATAGAGGACGTGAGAACCAAGAGAGGAGCCGATATAGCATCAGATCATCACTTGCTCGTCGCCAAGATGAAATTGAAACTCAAGAAGCACTGGACAATGGGGCGGACAATATCGCAAAAGTTCAATACGGCCTTTCTTCAGGATACTAACAAACTCAACAAATTCAAGATAGTCCGTGAGGTCCATTAATGTATTTACTCCCGCTTTTAAGGTCACAGATCCTCAACTTTGGTTTATCAGACTTGAACATTATTTTGTAGCTAATCGTGTTCATTCACAGCGATAAATTTGGCTACGCGAGCTCACTACTTGCAGATGAAGTAGCAGACAATGTACGAGAGGTTTTAATTAAGCCAGACATAGAAAAGCCATACGACGCACTAAAACAGGCAGTGATTAAGCGACCGGCAAGCCGTTGAACAGCTTCTCAGTCAAGTGCAGATAGGAGATAGGATTCCATTGCAGCTAAAAAACTATATGAGAAGCATAATCAGAGACAGAAAAGTAGATAAAACATATTTCATCAGTTGTGGTTACGACTTCCAGCGAACGTGCAGCAGATCCTTGCAGTTGAGGACAGCGATGTCGACATAGACAACATTGCTAAAATAGCCGATAGGATCTATGAGAGAATGAAACAAACGAGTCCGCAAAGACATAGTACCACAGTAGATGAACAAATCGATACATTACAAAAGGAAATTAACGTTTTATGCCACAAGCTGACAAAGCTAAATCAGAGCGATATGCAAAGAAGATGGTCGCAAAGTAGATCGAGAGACAGAAGCTGATTATGTTCTAGGAGACGCTCAGCCCCTACAATATGTTGGTATCATCAAACTTTCGGCGATAAAGCTCAAAACTGTAGACCACCATGTAAATTCAAACGACCACACCGGTTGTCGGTAACCGCCGCCACAACTAGAACAGCTCCTAGAGAAAGTCGTTTACGTTACGTTCAGGACAGAGTAACAGGCGCTCAGTTCTTAGTGGACACGGGAGCAGAAGCATCGTGCCTCCAATGAGTAACGAAACACGAAATATTAATACAGTAATAACGCTTAAGGCAGCAAATAAATCCGGTACAAAAACATATGGCGAACGTAAAGTAACCTTGGATTTTGGTCGTAGTACTTCGTTCCTTTGAGAATTCATTATCGCAGATGTATCCGTACCTATAATTGGTATTGATTTCTTAAAGAATTCCGACTTACTAGTGGATACACGACGGAACCATCTCGTGAACGGAAACCATTCAGTAGTGATAAGAGGAGTGACAACTGATCACGTATCCATGAATTTAGTAGTATCAAAAGACAAAAGCGAGTCATATAGATCGCTTCTAAATGAGTACGCTGATTTGACGAGGTCATCGTACGATAACAGAGATCTTAAGCATACTGTACAGCACCATATTATAACGAAAGGTCCACCGACTAACGCAAGACCACGGAGGCTAGACCCAAAAAGGTTGAATATTGCGAAACGAGAGTTCGAAAAATTGAAGTTTGGTATCATAAGACCATCTAATAGTCCCTGGGCATCCCCGTTGCATATGGTTCCCAAGAAGAACGGAGATATCAGGCCATGCGGAGACTATAGAGCCCTTAACAAGCAAACTATAGCAGACAGATATCCGGTACAACATATCCACGACATTACTACCAATATGGAAGGTGCCACGATATTTTCAAAAATTGGTCCTGTCCGGGTTTATTACCATATTCCCGTGGCGGCAGGAGATATATCTGAAACGGCTGTAACCACTCCATTTGGGTTATTTGAGTTTTTGCGAATGCCCTTCGGATTAAATAATGCAGCCCAGACCTTCCAGAGATTCATCGATCAGGTTGTCAGGGGTTTGACAGGAGTACACGCATATATCGATGATATACTAGTAGCTAGCGCTACCGTGAAGGCACATCTACAGCATCTACGACGGTTGTTTACGAAACTTCAAGAACATGGCGTCACTATTAACGTGAAGCGTGAATTTGGAAAGGAATCATTGCAATTCCTAGGTCATATGATAAATTCACATGGTATCATGCCAGTTCCGACAGAAGTTGCTGCTATTCGTAATTATCCATTGCCCGAGTCACAAAGAAAATTACAACGACTCTTGGGAATAATAAACTATTATAGACGATTTATTCCAAACTGCTCAACAATATTACAACCATTGACGGACGCTTTGCGAAGACATACCCGAACATTCCGTCTTTCAGCGGATGCTATACAGGTTTTTGGGAACGCTAATCGAGCGCTAGACGAGAAGACGATGTTATTACGACGAAAAAACGAAGCACCACTAGCAGTCATGACGGACTCATCGAACATCGCAGTAGGAGCTGTTTTGCAGCAGTTAGTAAACAGTACATGGGAACCACTTTCATTTTTCTCTAAGAGTTTAAATCCTACTCAAACGAGACATAGTACGTTTGGATGAGAACTATTAGCGATATACTTAGCAATAAAACATTTCCGACATATGGTTGAGGGTACCATTTTCACAGTACATACAGATCATAAACCTTTCACAAAAGCATTAGACGTCAAACAGGATAACTACTCGCCGAGGGAAATTTGACAGTTAGGATTTATTTCCCAATTTACGTCTAACATAGAGTATATCAAATGCAATAATAACGAAGTGGCAGACGCGTTACGCAGAACGATGGTAAACGTTCTCATCAAATTGTCACAAATTAGCAGCATTGCAAAATATTGATGCCGAGTTAAGCAGACCAAAGTCTGCCAATACAACCTCGTTAGTACTCGAAGAAACTCCATTGGAAAAAGTAAGCATCATGTGCGATATTTCCACGGGCCAACCACGACCACTTATTTCAAAGCCACTAAGACGAAACATTTTCGAAGCCATGCACAATATTTCGCATCCTGGAATAAAGGCCACCATCAAACTAATCAGCGAGCGTTTCGTATGACCAAGTATGAACCGGGATATCCGTAGCTGGACGCAAGCGTGTATAAAATACCAGAGAGTTAAGATACATCGCCACACCAGTTCCGCAGTAGGTCATTTCCGCCATCCCGATAGCAGATTCGACTACATACATATCGATATTGTGGGACCGCTGCCGATTTCGAATGACTTTAGCTACATTTTCATTTACATTGGTAGATTCACGCGATGGCCTGTAGCAGTGCCCATAAAAGACATTTCAGCCGAAACTATATAAAAAACCCTAGTAGAGCATTGGATTTCCTATTATGGCGTGCCCACTAATATTACAACCGATAGAAGTTCAATTTGACAGCCGCTTCTTCCAACAACTCACAGAGCTCCTCGGAATCAAACGAATTCGCACAACATCCTAATAGCCGATGTCGAATGGTATGGCAGAGAGATTACATCGACAACACAAAGCCTCTCTTACAGCTGTTATTAGCTGTAATGATTTGGGCCAGCAAGCTCCCATTAGTCATGTTGAGTTTGAGATCAACAATCAAACAAGATATAGGATGCTGCCCAGCAGAATTGGTTTGTGGAACCACTCTACGTCTACCAGGAGAGTTTTTCACCACAGGTAAGAGCGTTCCAACTGATATAGCCAGCTATGTACAACATCTAAAGCAGCATATGAGTAATCTAAGGATAACGCTTCCGAGGTAACATCAACACCGTGTGTACATACCAAAACAACTGAGCGACAGTACCATGTGTTTATCAGAAGGGATGTTATATCCGAGCGAAGATTAAATTACAGGTAACTCCCGAGGTCTATTAATGGACAAATATTCTTATTGTAAAACTATTCAATCATTAGATTATGTATATTTATATCCCTCTTATTATAAGCTTTATTTTGATCTATAATTTATTATTGTACGATTTACGGTTCTTAAACCATGTTCAGTCTATTAATTACTGTCCCCCTCGTTCACAGCCACTTTTTGGCTTATTTGTGTACACATGTTATTTTCTAATTTATGGTGTGTTGTGGTCTGTCTGTTTGATATATAAACCGAGTATGTTTGAAATAAAGGATCTGCTCTGATTCGAAGCTGGTATTGTGTTCTGGACTCAAGTGGAGGGGCTCGTAGGACATAGGACCAATAAGGACGCTAGACTGCCCACACCGGTTGAACGTCATTGGTTGGCCTAGTGTGAAGATTCGTATAAGTCGTATCCGGATTGGTAGATAGGTCGCGTGATAGTAAAACCAGACATACTCAAGGTCATAACAATTGGCGACGGGGATATTGGAAAAAAAAGCGATTCAAGGTCATAACAATTGGCGACGGGGATATTGAAAAAAAAGCGATTCAAGGTCATAACAAGGGAGAATGTGCAACATCCCCTACAATCAGCCTACGATGGTCCATTCAAAGTGATCAGAAGAAACGACAAGACTATTACGGTATACAAAGCTGGAAAAACGGATGTAATTAGCATCGACCGAGTCAGACCACCTTTCATCGGAACCGACGATCAGCCAGTACACACAGATACTGCGAAAAGCGTTGAATCACCGAAACATGAGTTCCAACCATCAACGACATCGACAAACGAAGAGAAACCAGTAACAACAAGATATGGTCGAAGACTAAGATGGCCGCAACGATACATAGCTACGATTTTGAATTAATAATTTCTTTCACCTCTTCGGATGTAGATTTCATCTTCGTTTTCTATGTACACATCGAGAATTTTAACTTGTCTATTGTTATATTCGACATATTTTATGTATCCTTTCAATCTTCCGTTATTATCTTATTCGGCATCACGGACATATACGAACTCAAACTTACATGTCTTTGTAATAACTTACACGATAGTTCTATCATACATCTTAATTTCGTAAATTTCGAATATTTACCCTTCTGTCAAATTTGACATTTTTTCGCAAACACAGTTTTGTATCTTTGTTTGCTGGGGGGAACTATTATAACAGCTCACGTGAAATTGAGTTTGTTCACAATTAATTCGATTAAGTCATTTTGTTAACTTATTAACGAACTTAGTCATCGGTATAACAACTTATCTATATCATTATATCTTTATTATTGTTGCGAATGTATGAACATGTATGCTTGAGCATTGCTTACTGCCCACGCATTTATTCACGCTGCTAGCTTTACTACCAACCACTCGATTGATTCGATGATTCATTCATTTCACCATGTATATATATGTCCATGTTATTCATATTCATTGCTCCCGCTCACTTAATTGTACTCGCTTACTCATATTCATATTCACTGACTCACTCGCTTGCCTGCCTGTCTTTCGGCACAACTCTTCTATGCTTGTTTAACGCATCTGTAATTTTGGATATCTGTGTGCGGTCCCGTAATAAAAGTAATCAACACTTCATATTCGCCTTCTGATTAATATACCGTTGGGGCGTTATATAGGATGGTTATCAAGACGAACTGTATACGAATTATAAGGATTATATCGAATACCGACCACCACAAAATCATTGTGAAATTCGGAGCTCATAAACCACTTCAAATAGGCGTAGATACACAAAAGTACATTAAATCCGAGTATAAAATAATCACTACTCCATTAGCTGACATATGACAAGTATTATTGAAGATTACTATAAAGTAGCATAGAAAGATTAAACGTAAAACAAAGTTAAATAAGGATGATGTTGGTGAACGAACATCACGTATAGCGAATAAAAATTTCATGTTCTATCGGCTGCCAAATAAATCCCTAGGAGAACTGATTTTAAAACAGTTTGGAATTTTGAATACTTTCTATGTTGATTAAAGCGAAAATTATTCCATAGTTATATGGACTCTTGATGTGAGTTCAAATAGAAAGTATAGCGACTCACGTGCAAATGGGTTTATTCTCATTTAACTCAGTTAAGCCCTTTTGTTAACTTATTTAGCGGACAAAGTCATCCGCACTATAACAATTTATTGTACCCTTATTATTTTGTGTTTGTATGAAATACGTATGCTTGAATATTGTTTACTGTCTACGCATTTATTCACTCTGCTAGTTTTACTACTAACCGCTTATTCGATTCGATTACTCATTCATTTCACATGGTATATATATGTCCATGTTATTCATGTTCAACACTTACTCACTCACGCGCTCTCGTCACGTTCTCGCTCTCGCTCGCTTGCCTTTCGGCGCAACTCTTCTATGCTTGGTTAATGCATCTGTACATTTGGATATATATGTGTGGTCTCGCAATAAACGTAATCAACACTTCGTATTTTGCCTTCTGATTATTATACCGTAGGGCGTTATACAGAACGGTTAGCAAGACGAATTGTATACGAAGTTAAGGATTATATCGAATACCGACCACCACAAAAGTACAAATATGCTTCACAGCTGTGTTTTATTTCTAGGAAAAAAAAACAATTTTCAATAAGACCATTTTTTTTCATTTTTAGTACTGACCAACAATCATATGCAGCTTTTCACAAAGGAAATGTGAAATTAAAACAAATTTCGGTACACTCGATCGATATGCCTGTTTAATCACAGAAACAGCTCTTGAATAGTTAAAATGTGCCTTGATTTAACCTGTATATTAAAGCTGTCTCAATAACAGTTAATTGAAAAGCATCAAATGACATTGCAAATAGATATTTTCTTAATCAATTAGCGAACTACGAAGTACTTACCTTAACAATAATTTGCAATATTCCAGTGCACTTCGATGACAGCCCCGTTCACTAATTTTCAAGATATAGCGGAAAAGTGCTACAAACAAACCACTTTAGGATTAATAACACAATAATCACCAACAAAACTCACCGATTGACTTGACGCTTAAAGTCTAGACGACAAGAACCGTTGAATGGATTAAAGGATGGATGAAAAGCTGATTGGAAAGCATGGAGTGCGCGTTCTAAAAAATGACATTATTCAACTAATTTAACTTTGCTCACCCAGAAGATCAGTACCTACAGTTGTATCTTCCTGGTGCATCATTATTTCGCTCAACTGTAGTAAAGAATCTATGTGATAAGGATTTTCATATAATATACTCTGTGGAGAAACTTATAAGATAAAATTCATTCTTACACTCAAATTATTTGGATCCATGGATTCTAAAGCATTGTAAAATGACCTCTGGATATTTTGATATTCTTTACTGTGTACGAAAGTATATAAACCACAACCTAAAGGTTCCATACTCAAGCCAATTCGAACAGTAGGTGGCCAAGTGGACTTTATCGATACAAGCATACCACGTTTGACGCGACTTCGTTTTCTTCGTAAGTAAGTTTCGGACCCACCGATAACTTCTGACCCAAACAAACGACTAAGTTCTCCAACATGATCTAGCATCTTGATATTTACTTTGAGCAAATCTATCACTTGTTTATTTTGATCAGCAATCCCTGGGTCATTTGAAAGTTTTATATTATCTAATTGGTAGGTTATCCCAGTTTTCTGAGGAAAACACGGAATATTATTAAAAGGCAACTTACGTCCTTTTGCTTATTTTTTTTCTTTTTCCGCTTTTTGGATTTAAAAGATTCACAATGATCATGAGGATTCTCATCAGAGGAAGGAATGGTTATCAACTGTGGGGAAAAACAATTGCTGAACTAATATGGTAACTGATATGACTGAAAAGCTCACTTCGGAGAAAACAGAACCTCCGGTGATGGGATCGTCATTATCACTAAAATTATTATTGTCATCAAGTGAATTTTCAGAATCTTTCTTCAGTTTACGTAATACTCGGGAAGACATTACGATCAAATAACAAAAGAACTAGAGGTAAAAGTAGCAGTAAAAAGATAAATCAGAAATATATATATATAAGGAATTTTGACTGCCTAGCAAAAGTAACTATGTAACTGATATGATGGGAAGAAAAATCGATTTTCGATCGATTTACTCATTGTGAGTTTTATTCAACATTACATCGATTCTAATTCAACGTAATGATCACTCGCTGTATTATTTGTTTTCTTTTGTCGCATGATATTTTATTCTGTATAATGTACGATAATCTTGTATTCCATTGACACGAACTATAATCAGTCTGTGATTTGTTATAACTCTAAGTATTTTTCATATGTGTTTATTCTAAATATAAATCAAAAATGGACGAAAATCAATATATAAACCAGTGTATTTTAGACTATTTTGATCATCATCGTCGTCGTGTTTTGGGGCTGATAAATCTTCACTTATACCAGTCTTGTGTTTTTACTGCGCATCGTGGGAATTGCAGGAGTCCCTAGTTACGAGTATAAGTGGTCAGCACTTTTTCCGACACAACAATTGCGACGACCGAACATAACAGTAACCACAAACAAACTATCCAACCGTACTAATTGCTTGTATTTGGATACTCAATAAAGTAACTGAATTTCCTCCTACAGTCACTCCAACTATACCATATGGCTTGTTTCTGAATAGCCCAGTTTGGAGTCCAGGATCATGTAAAAGTTTGGTGGACTTACTTCGAATACAAAGATGGCTTTTAACATCTCAAAAGCCTATGACAAATCCAGACAATGGAAATTAAGTTTATGGTAATCCTTTTTAACAAATGATGTGAATGAGTCATCTAGATTCATCCGACCCGAACGTTGCTGCTACCTTGACGTGGTGGTCGGGCTTGCCTACCGTGATAAACCAGTCGAGCTATACTGGCTAGAACAATCGTCCCTCAAGGTCCTACCATGCCAGATAGGTCGGTTGAAGAACGATAAGACTAAAAGAAGCGAACCCAAGTTCCGAAGGCGAAGTCATACTGCTGACTGTACAGATGTGTGATAGCAGTAAGGTGTTTCCAGTATAACAGCGATGCTGCCTTCCTTCAAGGAAATGCGGAGTTAAAAAGGTCTACCCTATAAATTCACACACCGCCTTATCCCACATATTTCCGTCTCCGGTAATAAGGGCTCAACAAGTACGGAGCTAACATGAAAATTACCCAAAAGAAGGTCGTGTGTGATCGAACTCAAGCAGTTGTCCCTTGGGCACTCCGGTCACGCTCTCAGGTCACTATGATCACCTCTAATCCAACTTCCTTTTCAGGTACCTCCCCAAGAACCCTTCCACGGTATCGGCAACCGGGAAGTGATAACCACCCTCATACCTCTAACAGCACTCAAGATCACTGTATTCATAATCAACCCCTCTCTTCACTTCCTATTACTCCTCCTATATCGACTTTCAACTCTAAACTTCCTCTTTCGGCTTTCTCCTCAAGTGTCACCATAGCCAACGATTTTAGTGCGCAAAACACTGTCCCAGATCTACTGAAACCTCGCTCCAAACTACACATTGGAGCCTTCAACGTACGCACTCTATGTCAAACCATTCACCAGGCCTCCTTGGCTAAAACCCTAGAATCTCGTACCATTGATGTATGCTGTGTCTCCGAAACACACATACAGGATTTCAGTGTGGTCATTCACTTGACCTCACATCGACAAAAAGGGAAAGCCGACGAGATACACTCTCCGTGTATCTGATGACTCAATGGCTGGTTCCCGTGGACTAGTGGGTGTAAGCATAGCACTAAGTATGAGGGCGGAACAAGCACTACTAGTGTGGATCCCCGTTAACAATCGTCTATGAGCTGTTCCCTGCTTCGGTTTGGGCACCCGGGCAGTATCACAGCCCTCACACATATCGAATGAGATTTGTGTGGCGCATATGTATTTGGTGCCTCTTTGTACCATTATCTATGTGTTGAAATAATAATAAATAAATGAGCTGTTCGGCTAAACGGCTCTGTAAGAACTAAGAAGGACAGAGACACACGTCGTTAACTTTTTGTCATTTCTGCCTATGCTCTCACCGACTGCAGCACAGATGAAGTAAAAGATGACATTTAGGTAGGTATTTTGATATTCCGGGTCAGAGAACAGATAATGGTGATCGTCTGCTGAAATTGTGCTCAGATAATCGTTTATTATTAGCAAACACGAATGTCAAGCATAAAGAGAGACATCGTCTAACATGGTCACCCCCTATACCAGATCAACGATGGACTTAAATATACCATACTGCCATCAGTCATCGTTGGAGAAGCTCGATAGAAGACTACCACTAGTTCAAGAGTACATGCTTGGACTCTGATCATGCTCTAATACGAGCACGCATCTGCTTGCGCCTCACTGGACGCAGAGAAACCACATTAAGAATACCCGTTAGAGTCAAACTCAGTGAAGCCAAAAGTAGATTTCAGGAACAACTAAGGTCACACTTAGGTAATTCCGAAAACGAGACTGACCCAGATGTTGCTTGGAAAGATACACGAACAGCTGTGGAAACAGCAACGACACCTATTAGTGATTTAAACCAAAGGGTTACGAAAATTCAATGAATTTCTACTAAGTCTATTGCATTGACAGATTCTCGTAAACTCATCCCATCAGGCCCCGAACACGATGAAAGGCGAAAACAAATCACATCTAGGTTAACCAAAGTGAACTGGCAGGTATAGGTATAGTAATAAGTACGAGAGCAGAACAAGAACGACCGTGTGCAGTGATGGACAACGAAAGCAAAAGAGATGGGAAAGGCGGCGGCTATAGGGAACACAAGACAGCTTTTCAGACTAGTAAAAGAAACTGGAATTAATAAGTCAAATGTAAGCGAGAACATCTCAGAAAAAGGCGACACTCTCATCTGCTCCCAGTTCATACGTTTAGAACGATGGGCTGGACATTCTAAGGAGCAGTTCAGCTAAACTTCAGCTACTCTACAACTACCCACCACTCCCAGACAGTGTGAATGGAACATTGAAGTAGGTCTCCTAAATCTAACTGAAGTTCAAAAGGGTATAGTTAATCTGAAATGAGGAAGGGCAGCTGGTCAAGATGGATTGGCTCCAGAAGTCTTTAAGTATGGTGGTCCAGTTTTGGTGATTAAGTTGACTAATATTTTAGCTAAAATCTGGGGATTGGACGTTATCCGATCTGACTGGTCACAATCACTCATCGTCTCAATATATAAGAGGTCAAAATCAACCTGTGATAACCATAGACAGATAAGTTTTACTAACATAGCATCTAAAATACTAGCCTTAATAATTATCAGACACCTAACAAAGACTCGTAAACTTCAAACACGAGAAAATCAGGCTGGCTTCAGACCTGGTCGTGGCTGCATCAACCACATATTTACCATTCGTCAGGTTCTAGAACACAGGCACATTTATCGGCGTCCGACAATGGTGGTCTTTCTTGACTTAAAAGCAGCATTTGACTCCGTAGACCGCGAAATTCTGTGGCAGTGTATCATTGAAAGGCGTACCTCAAAAGTACATAAACCTTAGGAAGGCTCATTACTCGAAGACTACTAGTCTAGTCAGAGCTTATGGCGAACTGTCACCTACTTTCGCAACATCAAGTGGTGTCCGACAAGGCTATCCACTATCCCCACTTTTGTTTAACTTCCTCATAAACCTACTGCTGGAAATAACGCTCTCGTCGACTGAATTCTTGGGCATTGATCTCCTTCCAGGAAGTCCATTTACTGACTTAGAATGAGCAGATGATATAGTCCTGTTTGGTGAAGACGCTTTTGATAACACTGGGCAACAATACCTGAATTTTAGGGATGCGCTTCTCTCCCTCTAAATGCAAGTTGTTGCTTCAGGACTGGCCTGCGTCAATACCTGAACTACGGATAGGGAGTAAAGTAGTCCGACGCATCGACAACTTCACTTATCTTGGAAGCATGCCCAGCCTCAATGGGTTGGTGTGACGAAACCTTTGTACGGATTCAAAAAGCTCGTTTGGCTTTTGCCAACTTATTTCACCTATGGCGAAGGCGAGATATCCGTCAACCGATAAAGGGACGAATATACTGCGCAGCAGTTTGTTCTGTTCTACTTTACGGCTGCGAAACATGATGTTTGAGAGTAGAAGATTCTCGTAAGCTACTAGTATTTGACCACAGATATATTAGAAATATTGCTCGCATCTACTGGGATCACTGAGTAAGTAATAGTGAGGTTAGATGCAGGGTATTAAGGAATGGTGGTAAATCAGTTGATGAGGTTTTGAATCTTCATCGACTGAGATAAATGGGCCACGTTTTACGTATGCCTGAACACCGATTACCACGACGCGCAATGCTAACCGGCGTTGGGGATGGTTGGAAGAAAGTCAGGGGTGGCCAAACCAAAACGTGACATCAGTGCTTGGAATTACCGCCTTCTATTCTTAGCCATGCTGGTAGATGCAGACTACCTGGCTGGGATTCGCTTGACCATTGTAACCAATAGTTGGAGACTCTGGGTGACATGGCTCAGAATCCACAATGCTTCAGGTGTATACACTATCAATCTTCCCTTAAATTATGAGATTAAAATTGTTCTATATCTTTCATTCTACAAACTAATTCCTTCCCCCTATACTATATTCTTCTGTGTAATCTTTTTTTATATATTACTACTACTTCCGTGAATTCAGTGTTCATATTGTTGTGCTAATGAGGTATAGCAACTTGGACCGATGCATATGTGCCTGGTCCTACGTTGCAGCTGACTGACTGATTAATCGGAGTGTCAAAGATTTATTTTGGGTGATAACCCATTCCTTAATGCAGACTGACAGCTTAATATTGAAAGATTGGTAAGACTAAAACTGATAAGCCGTAGTGTTACGAATTATATGTGTAGCGGAATGAATGAACTCAAAAGGTGTAATTACTAATCCAAGTTATAGAACCGAACAGACGGAGTAAATAACTATCAGCGGATTTTTCTTACTAACATGATTGTTAAGGTGCTAGAAAACAACATCCGAATTACGACCTTCCGCTATAAGGAGGGAAAGAACCTATCAGACGGGAAACAACCTTATTTCTTACTTTTACTTGACAGGTTACAAGATTGAGCCTTAACTAAATATATAAGCATACGGTTGAGGCCATGTTTACGTCTTTGACAAAGGTTTTAGCGAAGCTAGAGTTACGGGATCTAACACGAAATTATAGAACAGACAGACTTATCTTTTATGGTAGACTGATGACTAATGGTACTCCTTTTTATGGAAACCATAGAAAATTAGAGTACCGAAAGGAACTATTTTCGTTCCACTCGACAGTCGTTTATCTTATCATTTAAGAACGTTAACGTATGCAAAGTCCTACTCTCTGGTTGAACAGAAAAACTAGCGTTATTAAAAGTGGATGCTAGTAGGAGGAGCATTCTGCAAAACGATGGCGATAACAATCTGCATTATTGCACAAAAATTTACAAAGCTAACTGTTACAGGAACCAACGGACCATAATAAGTTATTAAACCAGTCACAGTTAACTTCGAAGTAGCAGTTGTTAAATCCTTACGAGTCTTGTGGTCACTCGTGAAGCCTTAGAAAACCCGAGAACTTATTTCGAAAAAAACAGGATGAACATCAGACAATATTTGGAATGAGACCTCTAACAACAATAAGAGGCTGAAGCATCTTAACTTGTCTCCATTTTATTACTGAAGGTTAAGAAGTGAATCTATATGAGTGAATCTATATGAGCTTTCTGTATAGTGAATGGTGATTCAATAATTCTGCCTCGTGTTTCTTTTATCTAGGACTAAAAACGCACTTCTAGACTTTGGAAAACTAATCTAAGTTGGACGGATTCATGAGGACTCTGATAACTTAACCTCGGTATTAATGCCTGAATAAACTAATCCACTTTAAGCAACAAAATGGACAGAAGTAATAATGTCGCAGTTAAATACTACATATATTTATACATTTGACTTCCAAGAGAAGGGAAGGAGAAATTAGATTCACGTAGTACGCACTACTACACAAACCAAACATACCGAATAAGTAGCGTCAAGCGAAAATATGTTGCCACGACTGGTTTTCAATCAGATATTCAATATTGATATATATTGAACTAATGTGAAATGATTTCTTTTTGCTCTCTTTTTGCTGCTCCAATGCGGTTCCAGCTCCCGGGTAGCATACGATATGGAGGGATGGTTTAGATACTTGACTTCACTAGATTTCAAATGGTTCAAATGGTTGTGGACGGAATAGAAGATTTCGCTTAACAGTGTAGCGGTAAATAAATCCCCAAAATAAATAGCTCTGTAAGTTTTCGACATTGGATGCTGACCATATGTTTTAGTGGACTCATCTAGCTGAAGGTGCTCGGTCATGCATCCGCACCAGATCACGTGTGGTAACGCTTCAGTCTTCAGTAATAAGGATAGTAGGTTGATGAACCTGTGTTAATCCTGACACATTGCTTTCCAGTGAAGGTCCAGCTTTCCCTTGAAAGTATTCACTGATGGGGCTGATACCACTTGTTCGGGTAAGGCGTTCCAATCATTGACTACTCGATGAGAAAAACGGGATCCCACTTTAAGTTTATTAGATCGCGGTTTATGAACCTTCTTGTTATGACCTCGGAGATTATTAGTGCTGGAGGGAGCAAAAAGATAAGACATATTAACACCCAAATCATAATTAAAGATACGAAATGCCAGTATAAGGTCACCTCGTTTCCTACGATACGTCAAGGGGAAAAGATTCAGGCGTTTTAAACGCTCATCGTAAGGGAGTCTAGAAAGACCCTTCACTAATTTCGTTCCCACACGCTGGACACGCTCAAGGGAGTTAGTATCCTTTACCAGACACGGGCTAGCTGCTTGGATACAGTACTCTAAATGTGGTCTAACATACATGGGATATAAAATTCTAAACATTTCCTCGTCAAAAGATTTGAACGCTAGGCGAAATGACCATAACGCACAAAAACCTTTGACAACGGCTGCTTTCCAATGCTTAGTTGTTTTTAAATCATGACTTAATATTACCTCTAAGTCTTTATGCTCTTGAACGCAAGGAAGAGGTTTACCCTCAATAGTGTAACGGTAACTATTACCGTGACTGATGTGCATTAGTACACTCTTCCTAGCATTGATTTCTAAGCCCCACTCTCGAGCCCATCTAACTAAATCGTCTAAGTCAGCTTGCAGATCCACATGATCAGCCGCACTTTTTATTGTTCTCCAGATTTTTACATCATCCGCAAACAATAATGTCGACGACCTAAGTAACAGCGGTAAATCATTAACGTAGAGAAGGAAGAGCAGAAGGCTTAAGATGGTGCCTTGAGGTGCACCACTTTTGACCGGCTTCCAATCGGATAGCGTTCCGTTGACCCTCACTCTTTGTCTGCGGTCACATAAGAAATTTCCTATCCACTCATTTACAGTACCTATTATTCCGAAGCTCGTGAGCTTCTGCATAAGACCTACGTGTGAAACCTTGTCAAACGCTTTGCTAAAATCTATGAATATCACGTCGACAGACAGACCGTTATCTAGGGCTGCTGTCCAATCCTCCCTCGCAATAAGCAAGTTGGTCAGGCATGAACGCCTGTTACGAAATCCGTGTTGCTCAGGAGCTAACAGATTGTGTAAATCTATGTGGCTTAGCAACCTAACCCGAATTAACTTTTCAAGTAACATAACGACTATGCTAGTTAGACTAACAGGCCGGTAGCTAGATAGTATATGTCTCTGACCGTCCTTAAATATAGGGCTGACTATAGCGTCCTTCCAAACTCTAGGGAGTTGAGCGAGTGAAAGGGACATGTTGAAGAGTATCGCAAGCAGTTTTGAAATAATGTCCGCAAGATATGACAGCAACCGTGGACGTAACCCGGCGGGGCCCGTTGTCTTGCCAGGTTTGAGGTTAGTTATCAACGGAAGGACAGTTTCCTCAGTCACCTGTAATGATTCCATGGTTGGTATCTCGGTGTGAGTGGGACAAGTATTTGTTACAATAAACATAGAGAAGACTTCGCTAAAATAGTTTGAAAAAGTCTCAGCTTTTGCTCGATTTGATTCACCTAGTAATTCTGAATTTTCATGTAACAGTAACAGAGGAATACCATCACTACGTTTCATTTGCCGTTTAACATACGAAAACAATCTTTTCGGACAAGTATGGCTATCATATACTAACTGTCGTTCGTAAGTGGTACGGGATTTGGCTATGGTTTTCTTACAGATATTACGGTATTTTTGGTACTCACGCTTAAATGGTGCATGACCTGTCAACAAGAATAAGTCCCAGAAATGTTTCCTACACTTTAACAGCTTTCGGGTTTCCTTATTAATCCATGGAGGGCAATGTGATAGCTTACGTGCTGACCATGGGATAAACGGCGACGTTACGGACTCGAATGTAGCCTTAAACTTATTCCATTCATCTTCGATCAATCCATCCGCGTCGACCGACCAATCAGTTGAGATAGCACAGTTTCTGATTTCTGGAATATTAGCTCGCCAGACATTGGGACGGGGTGGAGCAGATACGAATTGTATACCATGTGTCCTAAACTTAAAGTGAATTACAACGTGATCACTGTTCACTAGTGGAGGAAGGTGCTGGATATCAAGGACATCCTCAGAGTGGTGGATGAGGGCGAGGTCCAGCAGTGACGGAACATGTTGCAAATCAATATGTGTCGGTTTTGTGATACATTGTACAAGTGCACACTGAATAACGGTAGATAAAAGGTCGCTATCGAAACCACTACCTGGAGCTGTAAGCTCTATCCAGTTGATATGCGGTGCGTTGAGGTCCCCAATGATGAGACAACATTCTGCCATACTCCAAGAACAGATGTGTCTTAGGATAAAGTCGTCAGCAAGACAAGACGGACTACGGTATATTCCCCCTATAGTCACTAACTTATTTCTAGATTTAATCTTACAACATGCAACCTCACATGCGCCACTGATATGAGCCTCCGATAAGGTTAATTGTATACGAAAGTGATCCCTAACGTATAATATTACACCTCCCCCTTTGCGACTTGAAACTCTATCACTTCTGATACAGATATAACCAGCAATGAAAGGAGGACAGTCTATATCAACGATGAATCAAGTTTCTGTAACAACGATTATATCGGGACATAATTCTTGCACCATCAGACTCAGCTCGGACTTTTATTTCTAAGACTACGAGCGTTCGTGTAGCACACGCTTAAGGTGTTTTGGCAATCAATCGTTCTACCCATACAGGCCTCGGAAGCATTGGCTTCCAAGACCTGACTACCCGAAAACCCTGTGATCAACATCTACCGCAATCGCTAGTCAAATTAGATCAGAGAATTCCGATATATTGGTTATCGCCAAATACACTCTTCCGATCTCCTCGACTCTGTCTATTGATTTCTCTCGGTGAATACAAATTATATTAGAAGGTGTTGTTGGTAAAAGCGTTGTCAAACACTGAATACTTGTGCCATCTTCATTGGTTAGCCCAACGTGATCTGGTACACCTAATTGCAACTGTCTGTTCCTTTTTGGGATTTTTTAATATTATTGCCTTATTTTTTAATTTTTATACGTTGTGATATTTTTCCTCGTGTCTCAGGATATCTATATTTTTCCCTCGTATTCTCGTACTTAATATTCTCCTATGACCGAACAGACTCCTAAAGTATTTAAGATTAAGACCATGTCCCCACACTCGTTCCAACTCACGCCCTTCTGGCCCGACAATATCGAAGCCTGGTTCTGTTACGCAAAAGCCGACTTCCACGAGCACGGCGTGAACGACACACGTGCACAATTCCTCGCAGTAGTCACTACCGTGGGAAATCAACAGGTACGTAACACCTAGTATGTTTACTAGTGATGTTTCCGAACCTTAAGAAGTCTTAAAACGTTCGATTCTTAAACGAGGAAACCTAACCGATCGACAAAGATTAGATCAACTCTTTAATAACATAGACCTTCAGCACAGTTCTTCGACGGACATGTTGCAAAGAATGAGAGAAGTGATAGGTCTAAGAACTTTCGACGAAAACTTATTCAAACAACTTTTCTTGTCTAAGCTTTTTCAACAGATGCAAGCGGTTTCGGTCTCGTTTCAGATCAACACCTTAGACGAGCTGGCTGCATCTGCCGATCGTATCTTAGAAATTACGAAATCTTCCACTACCAAGGTATTTTCAGCCAAAGAAAAGTCTCACACGACTCAGAATGACATAACTGAGTTATGTCATACACTTACACGTTATCTTAATTTCCATAACAACCGTAAGCGATCGCACACCCCACTTAGAAGAATTTCTTGTAAGCAATCTGTCTCTAGACCATGAGAGACAGATAATCCCGATTGGTGCTGGTATCATAACCAGTGTGGAAAGTCTTCCAGAAATTGCAGAAAACCCTGCAATTTTCCCAACACGAAAAACAACTCGGGAAACTTCAAAGCCGGCACGCGTTAACGACAACCGTAGCCGGCGAACAGCCGTCTGTTGTACGTCACAGATGTGACAACGAGAGTTCGCTACCTCGTCGACACTGGCGCAGAAGTTAGCGTTCTCCCAGCAAATAATAACGACCGGCTCCACGAATCAACTCTAAACTTACAGGCGGCAAATGGTAAACCGATCGCTACGTATGGAAAAAGGTACGTTTACCTTAACGTGGGTTTACGCAAACCCACTCACTGGATCTTCGTTGTTGCAGATGTTTCTATGCCAATCATTGGTATGGACCTTCTACAACATAATAATCTGATCATCGACACGTGCAAACGGAGGCTAGTAGACGAAAACACTAATTTATCAGTTTGCGTAACTTCTTTTTCTGGTTGCAGATTATCCCCAGTCACAATTAAGCATACGATAGACCCTATTTATCAACCACTAATCGATAAGTATCCTGGCATTCATCAAACGCAACCGAAATCACCGGATGTAACCAGCAACGTTACACATCACATCACGACTACTGGACCACTTGTATTCTCTAAAGCACGCCGACTAGCCCCCGAAAAGCTAAGGTTGTCGAAAAACGAAATCGATCACATGATAGAATTAGGAATCATACGACCGTCAAATAGCCCATAGTCATCTCCGTTGCACATAGTCCCTAAAAAGGACAGCAATGATTGGC